ACAAATAGGGCCATTCTGAATCTTTGACAAGGCAAACGTGAAGCCCATACAGTTTAACACTTGGAGATGGGGTGGATTTCTGTGAAGTAGCTGGAAGAGGCTGCAGTTATAGCAGTACATCAACAGCAATGCTTGAAGCGCTGACAGATAAAAACAGGAAGAAGCTTTAGTGTAATTCACACTGCATTTTTACACATGTACTTCATTAATGATATTCTTCAGTGTCACTCAAAACCTAGCTCTTCATTTCACATTGCCTTGGACCCTATATTTATCCTAGTAGTAGTGGGTGCAAGATAACAAGATTACCAGAATCAGAATTACGTTTTCTTCCTTGTGAAATAAAGTGTAGTACTCTATGAAGACAACTTGGAGCATTGTAGTTTGGTTCATGAGTTTACCGTACCCTTTGCATGGTGCTGAGTATTCCTCCAGCCTTCCTCTTTTGGTCTACCCTCTCTATTCTGTTACAGGCACCTGGCTTGCAAGAGACATTGTTGCCCTGGCAACAGGGAGGATATCTCGACTTGCTGAGACATTAAAAGAAAAGACCAAAAATAAAAGCAGTGTTTGTAAGGAAAAGCTTGCTTGCAAAGTGACATTTACTGCTGGTGAATTGATTATAGTTTATCATGGCGTTTTTGGTTGAAGTTTTAACATCTGTGTTAACTGTTGGATCAAAGACTAGCAAGTGACTGCAGAGGCAGGGTGCTTTCAGGATTTATTCAGCTGTCATGCTAAAAAAAAGTATTTCAAATAGACATAACTCTTAATAGTTAGTCTAAGCTTTCTTGTAGAAAAAAAAACGTGCTAATAAGCTAAGTGTGCCTGGTGAATTGACTTTAATTTAGCCTGTGGATCTAGGCTGAAGTGTTAAATCTGTGCTGTGCTGACTGTCAGATCAGAGCCTTAGCAGCAACCAGAAAAGAAGGGATGCTTTCAGAATTCATTATTCAGCTTTCACTTGAAAAAGACACCATCTGAACAGTAAAGGATGAGCTTAAAATTCTCTGAGATTTCTGAAATTGTAGTCTTCTCGCTGATTTTTAATCTTCCTTCCAGCTCCAGAGCTTCCCATTGTGGAGAGGAGAAACTGGCTAATCCACCAGCACTATATCCGCAAAGACTATGACACCTGTAAGGTATAGTACCTTCATCCATCCAATCTTTCTGTGGTTTATTCTGTCTGTTCGGTATTGCATAGCCTGATGTATGTCATTATTTTAGTATTATTCCTATTCACGTATGTTGAAATCAAAACCACCCCAATTGTTGTAGTTGTCTCCTGCTTTGTGTCCATGTACGTATGTGCAGATTTCTAAGGTTTTTTCAGTTTTGTGTCCATGTAGGTAATCATCAAAGAGCAACTGCAGGAGACTAATGGAATGTGTGAATATGCCATATATGTTCAAGGTGAGCCATCGTTTTCATACATGTATCATGTATGAGGTTACAGCTACAGTACATCAAATGAATTCTCTGTGGTAGTTGACTCCCCAGCCCCCAAATACATCATTTAGTTTCCTAAAATCAGCTCTTTGGACCCCATGCTGTGCCCTTGCTTTTTAATGTGTTTATATTTTAACCTCCGCATGTAGATGAAGATCCTCTCTTTTTGTCTTTTTATTTCATGCCACAGCACTAATCTTGCGGCTTGAGGGCAAGATCCAACAGTCCCTGGAGCTATTTCAGAGCTGTGCTATCCTTAATCCCAGCAGTGCTGACAATCTCAAGCAAGTGGCCAGATCACTGTGAGTCTACTGCCATCATGCCTCAGACCTTCTTCATTAGCTAACCAGACAGAAAAAGGAGAGAACTATACAGAGATAACAGTCAAACTGTGGGCAGTTTTGGCTGTTGTGGGAAAATGTGTCCATCCTCAGTGATTATTTTTTACTGTTGCAGGATTGTAAGAAAAGCTGGTCAACATGGTGTGATTAGGGTGGATTAATTTTTCATATGGCTTGTTGTTGTTTATTCGTTCCATAGATTTCTCCTGGGAAAGCACAAAGCAGCTATTGAATTCTACCATGAAGCTGCAAGGCTCTGTGAGAAAGACTGGGTAAACGAACAGAAACACTCTAGTGCTAAGTTTCTGCTTTTCCTGAAGTTTGTAAGGAAGTGTCTTTTGTGGGGCCTGGCATATTTCACTCTAAACACATAACATGAAGTTCTCTCAACAGATTATCCCCACGTTTAGGATGGGGAAATGCATTCAATGAACTTTTTAAAAATCTGTATTAAAAACTGCTTAATAGTTGCAGTGGATCCATTTTTTTTACTAAGAACCTTATCAAATTGTATTAACCTGGCCAGGCAGGATCAGAAGCATGTTTTGAAAATTCATTCTGTTCTGACTAATACTACTCTGAGTAATACTGTAGAAGCAGCTTCTGAGCTGTTTCTCAGCCTTTATCCAGCCCATCTCCATTAAGCATGTCCTATGTATAATCTGACATTTTCTCACCCCAGGAGATCAGTCATAATCTGGGACTGTGCTATTTCTTCATCAAAGACTTCAAACACGTGAGTGCTGATTTTGCCAACGCTATACAGAACAAACTATAGGCTACCCAGTACCCGGTGATTTAATCATTTTGATCCTCTGTCTTCGTCAGGCTGAAGAGCATCTAAACATAGCTCTTCAAATAAATAAACATGACAAGACTTTCATGATGCTTGGGAAGGTTCATTTGCTGGCTGGAGAAACTGACAAAGCCATCGAGGTGTATAAGAGGGCAGTGGAGTAAGTAAAACTCAACTGTGGCCAGCATTAAAAAAAACACTGAGGGGATGTTTAAAGAGTGGAATTAATACAGTATTTAAAATATAGGTATATGGGAATATGCACTGCCACTATGGTTCTGAATATATTTTTAAATATTCTAGGCATGCATTATTCCATTATAACTATTGCAGGTTCAGGAATTGTCAACTTTTTCATCAAACCCAGATAATAAAGAATTCTTTTATTAATGCCAGATAATAAATATGCAGCCTCAGTATGACACTTTTCATGATAGCATTCTGTCAAGACACTAAAAGAGATAAAAGCTGCTGCTGTTGATTACTCTAACAGTTCCCCTATTGATTTATGTGATCATTTTCAGTCTTTTGAGCTCCTTTCAGTAAGTGGTCCTTCAGTTTACCACAAAGCCCCAGCTTTGCCAGCTTTTAACCTGGGCCCCTTTTCAGTTCAAACTAAATCCTTTTCATTTCCACTTCTATTCACAATGGGAATATTTGAATATATAACATCAGGCTATGACATAAATAACGAAATGACATCAGTCTCAATAATAAAGCTCATTATGACTGCCTCCCATCGGAGGTAAATGAATTAATCAAGTGCCCCGATACTGGTGTTGCTTTTAATGAGACACACCACTGTGTCTAATTTCAATGCCGATCTGCCTTTTTTCTACCATTTCTTCTTTGAGCCTCATCGTCCCCCCAGAGGTCATAATTAATACTCAGCAATTTTGCAGAATCAAAGCCTGATTGAATAATCAGCAGATTCCCTGAATATCAACTATGTTTGCTCAAGCATAAGTGCAGGCATTAAATGTAATTACAGGCATAAAAAAGTGACATTTTTCATTCAACTTGTTCTCTATACAGATTCTCTCCAGAGAATACTGAACTGCTCACTACTCTTGGCCTGCTCTTTTTACAGGTAGGTAGACTTTTTTTATTTTTTTTTTATTTAACATTTTCAATACAATTTTTGTACACAAACAATGAGCACTAAAGATAAATGAAATTTAGGTGTAAGACCCTTTTTTAAAAATGGGTAGATGTATAATTTTCTGATTTAATCTTTTGTCAGCTTGGGAAATACCAAAAAGCATTCGAGCACCTTGGAAATGCCCTCACTTTCGACCCCAACAATTATAAGGTATGTGGATAGTTTAACAAACATTATTCTTCGCTACTGTATAAATTGAATTTGCTACTAAGCTACCCAAGGGCAGTGCATTTGTTTTTTAAGCAGTTCAGTCAATATAAAGGTCATTCTCTTTCAGGTAGTACAGGTCTTCAGCATGTGCTCTTTGAAAGGGTAAATCTTCCCCTAACATCTCCCTAATCACTGTTTGTATTCCCAGGCCATCCTGGCTGCAGGCAGCATGATGCAGACCCACGGTGACTTTGATGTAGCCATGAACAAGTACCGAGTGGCAGCGTGCGCTGTGCCCGAGAGCCCCCCTCTCTGGAACAACATCGGAATGTGCTTCTTTGGCAAAAAGAAATATGTAGCTGTGAGTGTTTTGTTGAGTTGGGACTTAATAAAAATTGTATTAACAAGAAAAGAATATGCAAAATAAAAATCGGCAGAGGTGAAACATCCATATCCAGGCTACTCAGTATAATTTGTACACTTACTATACCAGGGACCATGGGCCTAAATTGACTGTATACACCAGACATCGAACTAACTGGTCCATTTAGGTGGTGAGATCATATCAGTTAATATATACATTGCTATTTAATTTGTTTCTTATGTCTCTAAGGTAACTCCACCACGGTACAGCATCTGTTTTCTTGCCTTACAGTCCTAGCAACTGTTGACTTCTCTCTTCTAATATCTTTTCTCCCACAGGCCATCAGCTGCCTGAAGCGGGCCCACTACTTGTCTCCTTTTGACTGGAAAGTGTTGTACAACCTGGGTCTAGTACACTTGACCATGCAGCAATATGCTTCTGCCTTCCACTTCCTCAGCGCAGCCATCAATTTGAACCCACGAATGGGGGAACTCTACATGTTACTGGCAGGTACTGAGTCAGAGAGAAAGTCTGTGTTGTTGTGTGTTTATTTTAGACTTTACAAAAGGTACAAAATATAGCTGACAGATGGGCTTGATCTCAGAGGCTTTAGCATATTTACTGTCCCATACATTGTTGCTGCTTGATGATCAAAGAATATGCTTTTAGATTCCATTTTAACTGTTTTTTTTTTTTTACGGGCAATAGTGATTACTGGTTTGCATTCACAGTTAAAATTCCTTGATCAACAGGTCTTGCATATGATAGTAATTCAGTAACTCTTTACACCTGTTTCAAATTTATGATCAATAGTGGCTCTAACCAACTTGGAGGATGTGGAGAATGCCAGCAGGGCATATGAACAAGCTGTGGCTCTGGACGAGTGAGTCTGTCTTACATCTCACATGTTTTATGAATCTGAATTTGAGGTTGCATCAGATCAATTTTTTTTTTCTTCCTTTCCAGCAGGTCCAACCCTTTGGTAAACCTGAACTTTGCAATTTTCCTCTATAATCACAGTGACAAGAAGGGAGCTCTGGATCAGTATCAAGAGATGGAAAGGAAGGTCAACCTACTTCGAGACGGCTGTACCAACTTTGAATTTGACCCTGAGGTACTGTAGATCCTGTTGTTGATGTCTGAGTCAGATGCTGGAGACTTGTTGTCAAGCCTCACCTTTTTGTCACTGATAGCTGATGGACATGGCTCAGAAGATGGGAGCTGCCCTACAGGTGTCAGAGAATCTGGTGTGGACTAAACCAGGCAAAGACTCCAAATCCAAACCAAACTCAGCAGCAGCCATCAAACCCCCGGGTGCTCCCCTCGGGACTAACCAAGCCCTGGGTCAGGCCATGTCTTCTGCTGCAAGCTACAACAAGAACATCCAGTTACCAACAGGTGCAAGCTACTAGTACAACATATAAAGTGAAGCTTCTGTTGTGATCAAAGGTAAAGGTGACATGTATACGTAAAACCTGATACATTCAGGACAAGCTGAATGTCTTATTAGTTTGTTCTGACCACAAAATCAATATAAGGTCAACATTTCCACAAGTCCAGTTTAACACTGGCGTTGCAGGTGATGACAGATTTCACAGCCTCAACCTCTCTATTCAGCCAAAGCCAGTTCTTTCATTACAAATGTGAACCGTCCCTGTGCATTCACAACCCACTGTTCCAGACTGAGTATATGGAATAAAGGCAGAATGCAGTATTGAATGTAAAAGAAGCAGCTGACCTCTTGTCAGTATATATTCTTGGCAGCAATAGAAAACCATTGGTGTGAAAAAATGACACAAATGCAAGTTAATAAATTCAAGGCTACTGAGAAATGACTGAGACTAAGTGGACGGGAGTGCTTTTCTTCACAAGACCTTGTGGGCTGTGTTTTCTACCACTTTCTGGCAAATTCTCTCTTGTAAAAGACAAAACGTATCTGTAGAGATGAGCTAGTTAAATAAAGGCAACTTTTTTGCATAGAAAATGTTCTAAAGGTAAGATATATTAGGCTTCTGTTTAACAAAATAGACCTGAACTCAGCCTCAAAAAAGGATGTGGTGTCATGGTTCTGATGTCGCTAATAAACCAGCCAGCACTCAGACAGCTCAAACCTCCACCAAGGCAGCTCGGTCTCTCCATAATTTAAAAAATTTGTGGATTGGGATGATGATCCAGATTATCACCAGAATATAATGGACTGTTTCATGGGCTGATCTTTACCGCTTCAAAACATTTCATCAAAATCCATCCGTTACTTTTTGAGTCAATGCCAAGAGCAGACCAACAAAGGGCAGTGGAAACATAACCTTATGCAGAGCCATCATGATGTTAGGGTTTTCAGTCTGGTAGTGTGATACCAGCACCACAAGCAAGTCACATTTCAAGTTATGTGAATAATGATAATGCTAGATTGTCCTATTATGCCTCCGTGCCGGCTGTAGCTGTGGCCTGAGGCATGTTTTCAGGCTGTCCTTCTGTCTATACAGCCCATTCTTGTAAAGGCGATATCTCAGGAGCGCTTTGAGGGATTTTCTTCAAATTTGACATAAATGTCCACTTGGACTCAAGGATGTACTGATTAGATTTTGGTTGTCAAAGGTCACTGACCTCACATCTGTCTGTTCCCATGAATTTGACTGCTTGGCTGAGGCATACAACCGTAAAGTGGTAATTCTATTTTATGTAGAGAGCTCAACAACCTTGTCTGAATGACCTTTAGTGAAAAATAATGTCAATAAATTTGTGATTGTTATTTTCAGGAGTTTCCAAAGGCCCCACCATGCCCTTTGAGCCAGAACCTGATGTGCAGAAAGCCCCGAGCCTGCCCATTGATCCTCCAGGCCCCACAGAGCTGGCACAGTCAGATAACCCCAAACCCAGAACCTCCAAGAGAAGAACTAAGGTTGAGGACTGAATCGGCTTGGCTGTCTTTGTCATTAGGTCACTCCCATGTCATGGCGGGAAATTAAGGTTCTTAAACAGCAACCTAGAGGTTTGTGGTTTTCCAGCTCATTGTAGTTAAACATGAAGCTTTGAGTGATAGTTTTCTGGTTTAGGTGCGCAGACATTTTGTGTCCTATACAATAATTTACTTTGTGTTAAAAAGGACAAGGTCAATGTACATTTTTGCCATGCCATTTATTTCAAGAATATTCGGTGCCACTACATCACTTGCCACTTTTAAAACCAACTCCTGAGTAAACCAGGTGTTTCTTGTAAATTTGTGTAGTCGTGGCAGGTTTGGTGCACATGTCAAAACCAATTCAATAGATGTTGCACTTTACAAATGTCTTTATTCAATTAAATGGTAGTATGGGCATTTGCGGAGTTGCAAGGTTTGATATTTGTAAGTGCTTAGCAACAAGGTTAAATGATGAATTATCCTTGGTTTGACATTTCTGGGGAATGTCTAAGTCCTTTATCTGTTGGAGGAGATGCTGTGACAATCGCTGTGGAAATCTGAATACATCAAGGCATGTTTTTGAATAGGTACAGGATTATACTTGTTTGTATGATAGGACTCCTTTTGAGGATTGAGTGTAAATAGTTAACATGCTTTTATATGAGGAAAGTGCTATGTTTAGAGACAGTAATGTATTTAATAATAAATAAGACACTTTAAATAAAATAGGAGTCTTGATTCTTTTATGGAGTGTTTTATTTGAAATGTTCATTGTTTTATGTTGTGGGGTTTTTTTATGATAAGGTCATTGAGTTCAACAGACACAACCAACAGGGGCTATGAGTTTTTAAAATGTACACTATCCAGCACACAGACTGTGGTCTGAACAAGAAGAATAACTGATAAACTAATACATTTTATCTCGTATATGAACTGAAGTTGACTGTGAATTACAATGTGGATGAGGCAATTGTTTAAAAATATGAAATACAATTTTTTTTTATTTGTATTTAGAACTTTAGACAAAAAAACAAAAAATGTAAACATTAAAAATGTAAAACACAAGATGAAGAAAATTGTACTTGTAAAGGTTAAAATGTTCTATTACGTCTTTACCATCTTTAGAGCCTACAAATTTCAAAATCATCTCCCTGCTCACTGTTGTTTCTAAACTGAGAAATGTGTCTGTAATTGTGCAGTAGGTTGTTTCAGTATGGAGGAAGTATTTTTGAATATATGTTATATATTATATGTGATTAACATACCATGGTTTCAGCGATAAACAGGAATTTCAAAATAAGACAGCTGAATAGAAAGAAAAATATTTTCATGGCAGTTTTCTTTTAAATCCTTATCTGAGATCATAAAAATAAACTAGATAATTATCTTAGATCATAGTAGACTAAAAACTACTGACTTCACTATGTAATGTGATGGCAAAGACTAAAATTTATGAGTATAGGACCAAGAGCATTGCCATGTTGGCTGTAGTGACAGAAATGCTGAGTTGTTAATTTTTCAGCATTTGTTGTGACTGACGTTTTCCATGAACAGTTGTGTGTAAATATAAACCATGGCTCAAGTCTTAGGTCAACAAAATTGCTGTTTACAGCCTCTCTCTCCCTCTCCGTCTCTCTGTCTCTCTCTCGTAGCTTGTGTTACAGTCGTTTGTCATCACAGTGCAGCCATGGCTGGAGAAGGTGAGTATAAAGAGTGATTGTGCTTGTTATTGTGTATTGATTTCAAAACAACTCTTGCTTCCATTGCAAAGGCCTCAGGTCACTTGAGTCATCACCAGTGTGTTACTTCACCAAGGAATGTGAGCATTATTTGGTTTGTTTAATGGAGGAGTTGATTCGATTTGCATGCATCACTGTCAAACCTCTCACATGCTCTGACTGAACTTGTATATCTGCTGATCAGTACGCTGTGCTGGATAGCAAATGTTTTTTTCCCTGTACATTACTTTGCTCAAAATGGAAGTGATTGAAAAGGGATTCAACATCTTGTAAGTATGTCACTTATTTTTATTTATTTTTACAGATGAGTCAGAACCAGTCCAATCCCACACAATGTTAATCACCTGCTTTTACAATTGGAGACTTATACAATAATACAACAAAGTCATTTATGGAGACTAAGTAAGATCGTTTGAACACTTCACACTCTTGTAAATTAAAACTAACATTTTTCCTTGTTTATGGTTTTGGGTTCCCATTAACAGTGTACACATCACTTTAACAAAATTATATTTCTTTTTTTTATGTCTGTTATGTTTACATTTCACAGAGCTTAATTTGACACCATACTTGCTTTAAATATACAGAATAATTTATAATTTATACGTGTTTGTATTAGTTTAGTGTAGATACTGCATTGCCTTGTGTTTTGTGTTTCTTTTTTTTTCCAGTGTGACAATTTAGATGATATCCCCTTCCACAAGTGCCTATCTTCTTCATGCCGTCTTTTTGGAGATATTCATAAAATCTTCCTGCCCTTCTTGTTGACGTTCACGTGGCACTACTACATATCCTCTCTGAAACCTGAATCCAAGCATATTACTTGACCCAGTAGTGGCCACTGCTCTGTCAGTGTTGCCTTTTCTTAGCTTAGTCTCTTAGACGTTTATGATGGAGAATAGCACTTACATGTGGCGCTATTATTGCCAAGAAACTGTATTGTTTTCATTAGGTTCTTGTTAAACTGTGCATGCCTGAATTGCCTGTGGTCGTAAATTTACAACCCAGCTGATGATGGCCTGTAAGTTACTGCTCCTGTTGCAGTTATTTTTCAGTGCAGCTGTGGAAGACTGCATTTCCATTTCTCATCTTTCTACAATTCAAATTGTGCGGAAGCGTCTCAGTACCTAGTGGAAATTCCATTTAAAGTTTTTTGGCTCCAGGGATTGCCAAGTTGTGCTATTTTCTCATTGATATGTTTTTTTCCCAGATTTTGCACACTAATGCCACTGTAAGTTATACTCTATCTAAATAACTACAGCAAATTTATATCAATGGTAAGTTCCAGTTATGAAATAAGTGTTTTCTTTATTTTCTGATAAGTTCTTTTGTTTCTTTTTTTCTTGAATGATTTGTCTTGTTTAATTGTTACTTGCAGCTGTTGTCAGTCTCAATTGTTCATGGGCTTGTTTGTCAAGATGTTCCCATCTGACAGGCTGTAAATTAGGTTTGTTTGTTTCGATGCAGTGCAGAGGTGAAGGAGGCTTTACCTGGACACAGAGAAAGAAATATTTTATTTATTTTGTCTCCCTAGCTTTTCGTATTTGAAATATGATGATGTGGTTTATATCTGACAATTATGGCTGTCTGGATCTCTGACTACAGCTCTTCATGCAGTCTCTGCCCTGGTCTGGCTCTTTTAAATAGTTCCCCAGATAATCCTAAATTCTCAAGTATCAAGATCACTACTGGCCACTGGGTGAGGCTAAATGTCCACCACACTCTGGTCTCCCCTCCTTTCTTCTTCTCTCCAGTTACCTCAGTTACACATCATTTGTTTCCACTTTCCATGGACCCAAGGAATATATGTCTGAGACACGAGCCATGTCCTGTGATATGTAGTATATGATAATATTTGCATTTCAGTTGTTTTACAAGAAATCAACATTCTTACCTGTTTACATTTCCTAATTATACTACTACTAAATTACATAAACATACACTGTGCAAATACAATTAAACTTCAACAATGCCAGTACCCATAAAACCTTACAAAGGAGCAACTTGATATTTTTCCAAACCTTAATGGGTTTTGTATTTTGGAGGTTTTTTGATTTGTTTTGTTTTGTTAAAATGTATTCCAGCTGTGACCAGTCCCCTCTTTTCCTTTGTGCACTACAGTGCAGAATGGTGTCCATCAACATTACCTATGCTCAAAAAGTAGGGCTTTTTAAAAAATGCCCACGGTTGTTGGCTTTTCAAGATGTATTTTATTTGTTACTGCATAAATCAAAACCTGCATATAATTACATCGCACTGGGACGCCAGCTCCTGTAGAACAAATCACTGGAAGGTGTGGTTTTGTGCTTTTTGGATGAGGTTGCTGAAGAATAAACATACCACAAGGTTGTGGTAATTTAATGTCGATCTATCCAGATTATGTTACCATCCATGGATCATGAATAACCAAGAGTTTGGACTACACTCGGCAGAATAAGAGGAGTTCCCAGAGCCAGGTGAAAAAGTGCCAGCAGTGTGATGGAGAAAGTGGAGAAAGACTTTTGGCAAGGTCACATGATTCCTTCTACTTTAACTAAGTAAGTATTTCTGACATTTTAAGGTCACCCTTACGGTACGTGACGTTTTAGACTGGATGTAAGATGATTTATTAGTTTTGGAATACGGGTACTCAGCCTGTAATTTTATATATTGAGTTCATGTTCTGAGAGCTGATATGACCTGGACCCTCATAAAACTTAGACACTCTAATGAATCTTTAATTATATCTTAATACACTTTTTCATGTTGTACATGTCTCTCTTTTATGAGATTATCTGACTGAAGCTGAGTTTGCGCATTTAGAACACATTTTGTACCTGTCTAATATGAACCACCTTGGCAATTGTTATAAATCCTAAATTCCTTACTGGTCAGTTTTAGACATTTCTGTGCAGCACCATTTGCATTTTAATGTCATGTTGTAGAAACTGAGAATTCAGGTGTCAGGTTTTTTTAAACATCAAACTTGTTTTAAGGAATATTACTTTTGGCATTAAAAGATTTGGCCACTGTCCAGTATATAAAAATATTTATGCAGTTAAGTCTGGAGAAACCTCAGTACAGTAGGGAAGTCCCATGGTTTGTCAGGTATACATTTATGCATGTGATGAAGATTTAGTGAGTGATTTTCACTTGTTTCCTTATTTCTGAATGAGATACTGACACTTTTCTACAAATGGAACCTTTAATATAAACAAATTTATCTTGCATAAACTACAAGGAGTTTAACATGGTCTGTTAAAGAATAAGGGTAGTTTGCAGGATGTATTTTTGTTGTTGACATCATTAGAAACCAAATGTGTTTTCATTTCCTCTAAAGACAGTCTCTTCCAGAAGTCAAGAATGAGAAGACAAGTTCAGTCCTTAGCTCCATTCTGTTGCGAATGTGAGTGAACATTGGATTTCAACATTTTCACAATCACTAAATTCCAGCAATGGAAAAGAGTGGAGAGTGGGTATCTGAAGCTATTTGGCCATCTGACAAGCTGTTTTGCTAACACATACAAGCAGCTTCAGTAGGTGATATTTTATATTTTTCTTATTGCAAACACAACCCAAGAAAATCCCAAACCCCACAATAAACCAATTCTGTAAACAGGTATTGCCTGTCCAAAACCTGATACAGCTTATTCCTCTGTGCCACAGAGCTCCCCTGTTATCCAACACTATTAAAAATACATCAGTTAAACAGGGTAACAGAATCTGCTCTATAGCTGACTCTGAGTCAGATCCTGCTGTTGTAAATATTCACTAGTGTACCAAATGTGTAGTGACTATACAAGTAAAAATGACGACTTTTTTACTGGTTAAAACTTAGAGATAGACTAGATGAGAAACATCCAAACCCTCTTTCGAGAGATGAGCTTTATCTTATTATCAACATTTGTAAATAGTTTTGCTGCCTCTTACAGAGACATTCTTGTGCAGGAATTTAACCTTTAATCGACACCATGCTCCGATCAGAGGCTGAAAAGAACATTTTTCTTAAAC